TTTTGGAAAGGGGTGGCTGTGGGCTGTGCCTGGAGCTGAGCTGCTCCTGGAGGACCCTGCCTGGCACCTTTCCACGGGCTCTGGGGTCGGAGAGGGGCAGGAAGATAAAAGACTGCCCCAAGGTCATGGCCATGGGCAAGAAAACACTTTTTCAAATGTCTTTGATCTTACGCAAACACCCTGGTGGAAAAGTGTTTGAGTTTCCTGAAGAGCAAAACCGCCTCTTCTGAGGCACAACAAACTCCCCAGGTTTACAATAGCTGCACTAGGCGATAAATACGGAGTGCAACATCTACGGGCACCACTCAACACTACGTTCACGTGCAACGGCAGCGTTTATCCGAACGGAACGCTTCCCCACCAGACAGCAACCCCGCAGCCCACAGCCGGACCCGGGTGGCTGCTCTCGCACGGCTCCAGCGGCGTTGTGCTGCAGGGACGTCCCAGCTCCTCAGGGAAGGGGTGCTCAAGGCACCTGGGTTAAGCTGAACTGCGTTATATGTCTGTAAGTAGGGATGGGTCCAAACACTGACTTCCAAGTGATCTGGAAAAGAGTTTTCACTTGGCTTCTTTAGCGTTCAAGGGGATGGCTGGGATCTCAGCAGGGTCTGGAAAGACACAGTCCAGCCTTTGCACACATGCCCTGACATCCATAGGAAAGCTCACCCAAACAATTTCCATGCTCAGACTCGTTCAAAGCACTCCGGGCTCCTCCAGCACAAGTTAAATTTTTCGCCTTGCTGCTGGTGTGAATTCACTCACTGGAATAAGTATCCAATGAAGCGTGTGGAGCTGAAGCCACATTGGAGGGCCCAGGCCAACTTTTTTCTGGCCATACAGACCAGGACGTGTCTACCCAGAGCTCAGAAACACGATTCAACTTTTATTTTAGCTCAGATGAGAAACCAAGGGGTCACCTTTAAGCTAAGGGTGGTAAAAATAGAGGCTGAATGGAAAGAGCAACATACAGAAAGCCAGGGAAGTGCTTTGTCCAGGAGGGAGGAGGAAAGTGAGACCCCAAAACCCTGAGCAGACACGTATTTAATAAAGCAGGTTAATACAGACCAGGGTCCGGGTCAGTCCCATTCTTCAGCCCCATCTGTCCCACCTCCATATGGATATGGGCAAGTTCATAGCTGCCCCAACCTACATATTCATGTATATTCGTGCCATGGGATGCAACGGCATACCTTCGGCAGGCAGAGCGAAAGCCAAAACTTCTGCAATGCTCCTGGCCCTGAGCTTCCTCCTGCTCTTGTATGCTGCTGCCAAGTCTCCGCAAAGAGACTGCGGGAGGGAA